ACCATCATTTTTTTCTTGCACTATTTGTCTGTTCCCACAAAGCCAGGAGGAACAGCTTTTGCTGATAATTGCACGTAAGAGGAGAGGGCAGGCCCTGCTGTGTGGCAATTACAGTTCATCAGGAAAAAGCTGTCTGTAGGCTCTACCCAGACAGCCTAGGCTGCAGCAGGGGAAGGGAGAGAGGGGCCCAGTGGTCCCCAATTCAGGCCCACAGAATTTCCCCTAGGCATAAGGGCGGCTGAGGGGCAAACAGAGCTTCGATCCTTGGGGTCTTGGTCTGTGTAAAACTGCCTCTAGGGACCATGACTGGCCTGAAGGACTCAGGGTGGGGGGCCGTGTCATGAAAGCTGGAGACCATCAGTGAACAGCAGAGTGAGACTGACAGCCAGGCTTCAGGCTGCTTTGAAAGCCTGCACTGCCCACCTCTTGGTTCCAACAGCACAGGTTAGTTTCAGGGTTTTATTACGTCAGTGAGAATCTCTCTGAATTCAAGCAGCAATTCTTTTTTTTTTCTTTTTTCTAGTCTTTTTTTTAAATTGAAACATAATCAGCTTACAATGTTGTATCAATTTCTGGTGTACAGCATAATGTTTTAGTCATCCATGTACATACATATATTCTTTTTCATAATAGGTTACTACAAGATACTGAATATAGTTCCCTGTGCTATACAGTAGAAACTTGTTTATCTATTTTATATATAGTAGTTAGTATATGCAAATCTCAGACTCCCAATTTATCCCTTCTCACCCCCTTCCCTCTCTGGTAACCAAAAGTTTATTTTCTATGTCCAAACAGCAATTCTTGGAAAGCAACAAAAATGTTAAGCATGACGAATTTTTTTTCTCAAGATTATTTTGTCAAGCTTATTATGAATAAAACATTTTGAGAGAAATCACAGACAACAGAGTGTGTATTTATGTTACACTTAACTTTAGAACTGCACTTCTAAGATGCTGAATTTGGATTTTTACTTGCACTGGTACAACATTTAAAATGAGATATCATTTTAATTGATATACTACATGATAGCTTAATATGAAAATAACTGCATGTGTGTCATACATTTTCATCAAGGCATCCACTATTAAATTTCCACTACATCTTGAAATACTATCACTCTACCTGGAGAAAATGCTGTAAGTCTTAGTGCTCCCTCCTGAGACCCTTTAGGGCCACTTTTTAAAGAATTAAAATCATAGTCATCTGGATTGATGAAATAGACACAGACATTTGTACTTATAACAATTTTAATGTTGCTACATTCATCCAGAAGAAAATTTTCAGGCTTCGATTCCCTAAATAGACCAAGAAAAGTAAATGTTATCTACTAATGTTAGTGTTTGGTGTTTGAGAACATTGTAGCTGTGAGCTAAAGAGGATTCTTTCTTGACTTGAGTCTTAAAAGTGGCAATGGATTAAAGTTCTGAGTCCCCCTCACAAAACACTAGCAAACAGGGCAATGTGCTTTCAGACTTCTGTTCATAGCTTTGACTTTGACATTGACAGGGAATCATCTCATTTTAACATGGGAGACTTGCTGCGAAATGAGTAGTAAGGAGTCCTTACATGAATTGTTAAGAAGTTGATCAGACAAATGGCGTTTCTGCTTTTCTAATCCAACCATAGTTGGAAAGAATGCAGTTAAAATCATTAAATTGCTCCTAGGTGACTGGCTAGAACCTTGTCTATTTAGAGCATTATTTTCTAGGCTGTCTCTTAGAGGCGTGGGACGCAGGATAAACCACACAGGGCACTCACCTCCTGCCCAGGATTTTGAGCAGGTGAAATTTGGCTAAAATGAACGAATACCTTGAGTATCTGAGAAGGATCTTCTCAGGAGTGTGTGTGGAAGAAGACAGAAGTATTGTCATCAAATATTGCAGGAGCCACATTTTTTTTTTTGGTCTTTTTAAGAGTCAGCTCACTGAAATAATAAAACAAAACTATTCTAATTTTCCCTCAGGCACCCAATGGTGTGTTTCTTTTGGTAGGGCTGAGTCCCCAAGCTGAGTTCCAAAGAAAGACCTTCTAATTCGAAGTACCCTTGGGAGGCAACAATGACAGCATGGCCAACTCCATATTTCCTTGGTAGCATTTCACAGGAGTGTGAAGGGCATTAGATAACATGATAGATTTGTATATTCACCACTGTATACACAGATAATGTATGTGATAGGTGATCTCTATATATTTTAACCTGAAATATAACACGGGAGAGGTGGTCAGGGCAGGGTTTAAACCAAATAATTTAAAATACAATAGTTAGATTCCTCTTATATGTGGAATCTAAAAAAAAGACACAAATGAACTTATTTACAAAACAGAAACAGACTCACAGACATAGAAAACAAATTTGTGGTTACCAAAGGGGAAAGGGGGTGGGAAGGGATAAATTGGGAATTCAGGATTTGCAGATACAAACTACTATATATAAAATAAATAAACAACAAGGTCCTACTGTATAACACAGGGAACTTTATTCAATATCTTGTAGTGACCTATAATGAAAAAGAATATGAAAAGGAATATAGGTATGTGTATACCTGAAACATTATGCTGTATGCCAGAAATTGACACAGCATTGTAAACTGAATACATGTCAATAAAAAAAGAAAGAAAGAAAATATGATCGTTAGAAACAAGAACACATTTTCAAACATAGTGTGTCTCCTCTCCCCCCCACCGCATTTTATCAGAACTGTTTGTTCTCCTGTTCATCTCTCCTCCCTTTGGTAACAGGCTGATTCAAGGGAGGGGTGATAGTGTGGGTGGGGATGGGGACTCAGCTGGGACAGCGAGACCCTCCAAGTGGATTCTGCTGCCTTCTTCTGCCCTGACCTCGCTGGGAAGAGCAGCAGAGCCTTCTGCTTCCTCTAGTCATGCCTGGGTTCACCCATCCAAATGGTTTTGCGTGATTAAAAGCTTGACAGCCATTAGGCAATTAAACAAGTCAGCAAGTTGTTTGCTTAAAAAATAACCCGTTATGCAAGAGTCTGTCAGAAACCATTTCCCCTGCAAAACTTGTTTGGCTGTGTATCTTCAGCATCTCCCTTGTTTTAAATCCATTACTCTCCTTTCTCGTAGTTTCTCCCATGTGAGGAGCCTGTATATCAGCACATTTCGGGTGCTGTGGAAAGGGGGCGTACGTGTAGGAACGCCAGGATGACCAGGAATGAGGAGCTACAGCACTAAGTTATAGGATGACTTGAAATCCCTTTCTAGGCTCTGGAATTCTACCGAAAAGGGGAGTTGGAGCCCAGTAATGTGGAATGAGCTATGTATAGTTTAGTGTATTCGGGATCTTGGGAATAAGTAACTCTGATCTTTCCCAAATCATAAGACATTTTATAAGGCATTTGAAAAATCTGGGTGGCTGGGAAGAATAGACACATGGTCAACCAGCTAATACCATAGGCTGGCCTCCATAGAGCTTCCCCCAAATCATTAAACCCACAAAAAGTTGCCGGAATCCCTCTCGCATTCATCAGTGCCACGTTCTGTTACTTTGATGTATATTATTCACAAGAAGATTCGAAAGTCTCCCTCGAAGCTATAGTCATAGTTTCCACATAAATGCAGTTACTTATGAGCTCAGACTGAGCGCTGGAGAGGAGAAGGGGAGATGCTCACTGTGGTGGTAGTTCTGTTCTCACGTGGATGTGTGGGCTGCTGCTCGTTTCCTCGCGATGGCACACCCAGCGACAAGCTTCTCAAGGACACGGATCTTCCCTTTAGCTGCACTTGGCTATGGACAGTGCTGGGCTCACTGTCAGGAACTGATAGGTCAAGGGTTTCATGATCATGGGGGCCTTTGGTGGCTCTTTCTCCCTCTTGAGGAGAGAACGGCATCAAACCTGGAAATGACTTTGTGCCAGTGCAGGTTCCCTGCCGAGGTGTGATCTACCTGGGGAAAGTCTTCACTTTCCCTTAGTTTCTTTCGACCTCAGATCTTGTTCAGGAGGCTGCTGCCAAGGCGTAGCTCCATCACCATGTGATGTGGTGTCTGTCTCCGGGGTTCACACAGCTGGGCAACCTTAGAGAGTTTACCCATTTGCTGGATCCAAGATTGATACTTTATATTCTTTGGAACACAGTAGTCTCACTTGCTTTCTTCTCCATGATTTTGATGGCTACCTACATCACTGGAGATGTAAATTATGCCTAATAAAATTTAACAAATAAAAACAGCCCAAGCAGTTTCAGTTACACACAAAAAACAAGGAGAACGCATAATAATAGGCATTTTGTGATGTAATCTTGTTAAGTTGGAACATGAATGAAACACCGTATTGTTACCTGCAGCTGAAGCTGCACTTTTTAGTAATTGGAATTTATGGTGCCTACACTAAAATGTAACTGTATTTCAGCAATGTATTAACTATGCTTCTGTGGACTTTTCTTACTTAGTTGCCAACAAAGCTGATAGGGTTGTCCCTTTAATTGTAAAGGGCACATTTATTAATTAAAACAAATCAATAAGTGGGTTACATCCTGGAACACATATCAGTCAAAACCAAAAGACATAATTAGTTCAGAAATTTTAAAAAATGTGGAAAGAAATCCTGTATACCAATAAAATTAACTATAAGGCATTCTAGGAAAACTCATTAAAATTCCTGCTTAATTCTTTTAAAATTTTTTTTTGTAGTGGTTAGCTTGACAGCAAGAATTTCTCCCTTTGTTTTTAGGAGGAACAGATAAAGAGACATTTTATCTGAAGAAGAAAACCAAATAGAAGTTATGCTGTGATTGTGTTTATCTTGTTTCTTTGGATTAATTTTTATCTATTGTGAAAATTTTAATCTAATTTTTAATCTATATCAACATGCTTAATTGGGATACACATACATACACATCACTTTGGCAAAGAGCCCTTCTGATCATTTTGCCCACCTAATATATCCCAACCTGCATGGTGTGAAGGAAGGCCATCTCCAGATCACAAGAGGTCTTCCTGAACCACACAGGCTCCTGAAATCCCTTTGTTTCCTCTCCAGGGCTGGTGACTAGTCCTGGTGACAGAAGCATTCACCACTGCGTCCGCTGCTGCGAGCATCCTCAGTGATACCATCCTCCATAAAGCAGATTGGTCCTGCGGTCCTGAAGAGGTGATGTGTGACCATTAACAGTTGCTGCTATGGATTCCATAATTTCTGAAGTCCCTGGATGAGGCAGGTACCAACTTTCTCTCTCTCTTCCCTTGCCTTCTGCTCCTGATCTGTGTGCTCAGGCAGAATCAATGGTCGATTATTAACCCAACCTGACATGGGATGTCAGTGAATGGCTTACAGTTCTGCTGACACCCAATACCAAGCCTTGTACAGAATAAACATTTCTCTTCACAGAGCAGAGAGTTCAGACCACGTGTTAAATGACTTATCAGGTAAAATTCAGCTAAATTAAAATCTGGGCCACTTGACTTGCTTTTTTTAAAAAAAATATTCTTTGTATTTTAGAACAGAAAAATGGATCATGGCATGCTGAGTTCCCATACGCCTCATCCCCTGTCCACAGTTCCTGCTATTATCTCTTGCTTTGATGTGGCATATTTGTTACAGTTAATGAATGATGGATATTGATACCTTACTATTAACCAAAGTCCACAGTTTACATTAAATTTCACTATTGGTGTGGTACAGTTTTCTGGCTTTTCACAATTGCATAGTGTCATGAATCAACCATTATAGCATCGTATAGAACTGTTTCATTGCCCTAAGAATCTCCTCAACCTCAGACCATCCCCACTCCCTCCAGACTTTTGGCAACTACTGACCTGTCTCTCCGTAAAGTGATGCCTTTTCTTTAATGTCATATCAATAGAAGCAGACAGTATATAGTTTCTTCAGTATGTATTTTTTTTTCAGATTTTTTTACTCCATAATAAGCATTTAAGATTTCCCTATGTCCTTGAGTGGCTCGATAGCTCCATTCTTTTAAGCACTGAATAATATTCCACTGTCGGGGGGGCACCCCAGTTTATTTCTCCACTCACTGAAGAACATCTTGGTTGCTTCCAAGTTTTAGCAGTGGCGAAGAAAACTGCTGTAGACATTCATGTGCAGGGTTTGTGTGAACGTAAATTTTCTGCTCAATTGGGTAAGTGCATAGGTGCATGATTGCTGGATCTTAGGATGTGCTTAGCTTCGTAAGGAACTGTCAAACTGCCTTCCAAAGTGGCTGTACCATTTTGCATTCTCACCAGCGATGAATGAGTATTCCTGTTGGTCTGCATTCTCATCAGCATTTGGTGTTTAAATTTTAGCCATTCTCATAGGTAGGTAGTGGTTTCCCATCATTACTTTAACTTACAATTCCTTAATGACTTACGATGTTTCTGTGTGCCGTCTGTATATCTTCTTTGGGGAGGTTTCAGGCTTTTTGTCCTTTGTTAATTTGATTGTTTGTTATCATGTTGTTGAGTTTTATGAGTGCTTTGTATATTTTGAATAGAAGTCTTTTATCAGACATGTATTCTGCAACTGTTTTCTCCCAGAATTGCTTTAGTAGAGCTGGAAACAGTTCTCTTTCTCCCTAAAAGACATTATGCTGCATACATAGGCCAATGAAATGCAATTAGCTGCAAATCTGCAGTGAGGGCTTTAAAAATGCTGAGGTTACATTGATGCTTGAGTACATATAACCTACCTCACTGCTTTTTATTGTAGTAAAGCAATTATTTTTTGTAGTCTTTTCTGGAAATATCTATTTTTATAGTCAGGCAGACTTGGGTTCCAGCTAAAAGTTGGCTAGATTTTTGCATCTTAAAAATCCTTAATGTTAAAGGGATAAAGGCTGACTATACATTTAAAATCCAAAGGGAAACTTGATATTCGCTGTTTAAGGCCAAAGAGTAAATTTTTTTTCTAATGACATTCTAAATAAAGTGTTGTATAGTGCAAATCCTTGTTACCACTTTAAAATAGTGCCTGCCACACAGCTAGCGGCAGGTCATGTTGGAACCGGTTTCCTAGCTTGCTTAGGAAGATGTGGGCTCCATCGTGGCTCACAGCTCACACTGCATCAGATACTGTGGCAACCAGGCTCTAGAGCTTTCAAGACTCCCACTCAGTAGTACGGATTGGTCCTCTTTTTGTTCAAGAAAACTTTATGTACATAGAATATTCTTGCTGAGAAACACTGCGTGACACTTGAGTTTTTTCTTTTCATTAGAGAAGATTGTTTTTTCTGGACTGAAGGAAACAAGGTCTTTTTTTAGGTAGAACAGTCAGCATTTTTCATTTTTTTCTCGGTTGTCCTACCATAAACCTGCTCTGGAGGTGATGAATTTTGATGAAATTTGGCTAATGGTTGTCCCAATATAATGTGATGCTTGTTCTGTGGAGTGGCGGAAAACACAGCATCTCATGACATTGATTGTCTTCAAAAAGTTAATCCCATTTCAAGAGGAAATAAATTTGAAGGAAGAATATCATAGAGTCTGGGAAGTATTCTCCTGGAAGGGTGAGGAAAGGTATAGGCGTTGAGCTCAGGGTTTTATTTATTTATTCATTTTTTTTTTAAAAGATAAAGTAAGGATTTATTAAAAGATGGGTAGTACACTCTCAGGGGAGAGCGGGCAGGCTCAGGTGAGCAGCTGCCCTGAGTTTCTTTGGCAAGTTAGTTACATAGGGTGTAAAAATGAATGGGCGGAATATTCATTGGGGAGGGAAGGGTTTGGGGTCATATTCCCTGATTATCATCCCAACTCCACCTTCCCAAAGGGAGGAGGGATTTTTGTCCTTATTTAGTCTGGATCGGAAGCGTTATGGCGTCGGTGCATGATGGGTACTTCTGAGCTGCAAGGCTAATTTTATTGAAATGAGGGCATAATGAGTAAAAGGTTACATTCGGGCACTGGAAATTCCTGCCTTTTCTGACCTTTCTTTGTTGGTCTCCAAGCCAAAAGT